ATCTGCATTCTTTTATTCGTTTTTCAATTGACATTTAACAAACTTTAATATTTTTTTGCATTAGTTTTCAAATCCTCCAGAACTCAAAGGCGAAATGTTTTCTTATTTACCTCTATCAGTAGGTACTAATTTGGGGGTCCATTTAAGTGGAAACTTTTCTTTGTCTAGCGCAAGAAGTAATATTCTACACGATTTCCTGGAAGCCGAAACCGATGATGCAAGGTGGAATCGATATATTTTATGCGAGATTTTACCTGAATTGCATGCTAAGCTAATTGATCAAGTTGTTATACAACTTATCGAAGCCAAATTGAACAGAGAACAAACAAATGTCATGCCACATCATCTTTGGCCAATTAAGAAAGATACAACGGGCACATACAAAGATTATGGATTAAACGTTATTAAAAGGCTAGGCCTTAATGGGCAAAAAGTTCTCTGGACTGAAGCCAATGGCGGACAATTTGTTTCATTACAATCGGCAAAGATCATTAATGAGGATGAACCGATAGTCGCGGATATATTAGCCAAACTAGGAGTTTTAGTGGTGAAACTTGACAAAGTTCAACTTCAACAACTTGAGGAAATTAAAGAACTGAATTTACAGTACACCATTCTTAATGGAAAATTAACTTGTGAAGAATTACAAAGAAAGAATCTCAAGTTACCTTCCTTGATTAAAGAGCAAACTCGAGATTCATTATTCAAATTGCTCAAATTTGTTCTACAAGACCAAAGTTCTTATAACTTTCTTAATGGATTATCACTAGTTCCGTTAAGCGATGGATCTGTTGGAACGTTTGGTGATGGGCAATACGTTGGAGAACAAGCACACCTAGCCTTATTTCCAAAAATTGGCCCATCTAAATTTATCATTGATTTATCAGATGACTTTCCGAAAATTTTTACTAGTCAAGAGTTTTCTGAAGCTACACGTATTAAAAAGTTTGACGCTTCCGCAATTTTAGACCTTTTAGCATATGAAATACCGCTTGAAGACATTGATTGGGATCCTAAAGGAAAGTTGGTACCAAATAAACCTTGGCTCGAAAAAATTTGGTCAATACTTACCAAGGAGGCAGGAAATGTAGAATTTGATAAACTTTCTTTATTTCCCCTGCTGTCAATGACCAAACCTTCCAATAAGCTTATAAAACCGAATCCATCCAATCCACTATTGCATGACAATGGACACTTTTTAATTCCAATTCTAGTAAAGTTAAAAGTACGTTTTACCGATATGAAAGTTTTCGAAAGTGATGAAAAACTTGAACAATGCATTTTGGAATGCAATCCCATAAATATAATTAATTCATTGGTGAAAACATGTTCCTCATTATCATTGAATATGAAGGAGTTGTTTGAAAATAGTAAATTGACACCTTCAGAATATAAAAAGTTTAGAGAATTTCTTATAAGTGAACAAAAAGATTTAATAGGCAAGTGATTGTTTTTTTTTTATGCATTAAGTTAAACGTTATACGTTTACTGTATTCATTTTTTTTTACCTTAATAGATCATGGAATAATCCAAGAAGATTTCCTGAGCATTCGTAGTTCTTTACCAATATGGCCGATACAGAATTGTGAAGACAAGTTCATTGATGCTAAATCTGGAATCCTTCTTCCATTTGACCTTCCATTTTTTACCTTTAGTAAAAATACCAATTTCTACAAATGTGAACTTGAAAATGAAAATTTAGCACTCGTCAGCCTAAATGCCAAAGTAATAACCGAATTACAATATGTTAAAAAGTATTTATTACCAGACTTTGAGATACATTCAATACCTAAAGATTGTGAAGGGTACATCCCTTTGTTGAAGAAACTTTTATCTTTAAAAAATTTTGATATTGAATATCTACTTAAAAATAAAAAGGTGATACCTAATAAATCACTCTCCGCTTTTGTGAGTGCAAACGAATTATATGACAAAAATGTTTCTATATTTGGAAGTATTTTTGAAGATAGCGACAAATTTTTACCAATAGAATTATTACAAGATTCCGTTCATTTAGGCCGCCTCAAAAGAATCGGTCTTAAGCATCAGATGAATTATGATACATTCATTGAATGTACACAAGAGATTGTCTTACAGATCACGAATCAGGTGGATTCGGCCAGAAATCGAGCGAAAATACTAGTACGATATTTATACGAACATGTCGACATTTTACGTTTTAACCCAGGGCAATGGGACGAAATTCTTGAGATCAAATTCGTTCCATCAGAAATATCAGAGGCGAGCCTTTCAAGACAATTTTATAAGATGCCAAAAGAGACTACTGGTTTTGAAAGTTTTAGAACGCTACGTCTTCACAAATATAAGAATGTGTGTTGGACTCGATGTCCGTTATTCGATGAAAACTTGGAGCCTACTGAACCCTTCAATAAACGTCATCCAGAAATCGGAATTCCAACACCAGAAGACATTATGGAACATTGGTTTGTTGTTGTTGACAAGATAGAATTTTGGAAAACTTTTAAGGGTGATAAGGAGATAAAAGATGTAATTAAAGAAATTTACGAGAAAATGGATCATCATTCCAGAGATGAAAAACATAAACTGTCCATTCAATTAAATATTGATAACGATAAGAGGAAATTATTCTTGAACAAAAAGGAAGATCCGTTTGATCCAAACAATTGGGCATTTGGAAAGGATCTTGTATTTGATTTAGAAGATGATGTCAGAGAAGTTTCAGAATGGTTAAAGCCTTTCAAGCATTTATTACTGCTTGGTGGAGCTCAGGAGGTAAAAGGTTTAGAAAAATCAAATAACGTAACCGAACATAAACAAAATGAGTTTTTGATTAATGCCTTACTGAATAAACTCACGGACAAATCAGGCCATGAACTTTACGATGTGTTTTTTATCGTTGGTAAAGAGAAAGAAAGGATTGGTGCTAATAGATTTGTACTTTCAGGTAAATTTTTTTTTTGCTCTTTTATATTTTGAGAGAACGTTAATTATTAATTTTTTTTTTAAAAAAAAAAAAACAGCCGCCTCAGCTTATTTTGAAAAAATGTTTTGTGGTAACTTTAGTGAGTCAGCCGAGAAAGTAATCGAGATTCCAATGATAGATGAAAACATTCAACCCGAAGTATTCCGGATGTTTCTTCGATGGCTATACGGGCAACGTCTTGTTGAAGCAATAAAGTCAGTCTTGCGTAAGAAAGAAGAATTTACAAATGAACAAGAAAGTTATGAAACTTATTATTTAGACTCCTTGGTTCATCTGTTAAAGGTGACAGATATTTATGGTGTTGAACCACTCAAAGATGAAATAGTAAATATTATAAAACACGATTGCATTCGTATTTGTAATGTGCTTGAAATTAAAGAATGGGCAATAAATTGCAATGCACCGCGGTTAACAGAATCCTGCAAAGAGTATATTATATTAAATGAAAGACTTGTTCTAGAGCAAAATAAAGAAAATTGTGCGATGGCAGAGGATGAGGATTAAAAAATAGAAGAAACAGACTTAATTACTATATTAGAATTATCGAGATGTATATTTAATGTAAAATATTAAGGTTACTAAATATTTATAAAATGTGAAAAAAAATTTTTTTATTATTATGTCATGTGATTAAATTTGTATCCAATCAGAATAATGGTCAAATTCAACTTTTGCAGCAGACTTAACTAAAACATACGATGTTGAGAAGGAATTCGGTTATGTCTTTCCTCCAAAAGACTGGAATTGTTTTTTTAGCAATCCTATAGACCATTGCAAACTTCGCATGAAATTGCATTTACAATGTGATTTTTTTAGTACTGAGCAAACCTAGCACTTTGCTGACCCACTTTTCTGTCTATTTTATTCGTTTGAGAAATAACGGTTCAGTAAATTATCAATTCGGTAGGTCATCCAAGCTCTGGTATTAACACCAACGAAATTATTTGTGGGCATCCAGGAATTGAATTTTAGTCACTTTGAGCAGATGATAGGGTTTTTCATATATGGTTTACGAATTGCAGAACAAATATTGTTCAGTATATAAAAAATTATCCAATTTTCTAAATTTTGCGCGCGTTAATTTTCATCCCTCCCTGAAATACATGATGTATATAATGACAAATATTGTGATTTTTTTCACGACTTTGATAACAAATTAATTACAATGACATTGACATTGTAAAAATAGTTATATGTATTTTCGTTTATTTTTTATTTTTTATTTTTTTTTTAAAAACAAATCATTAATAATTGAGTCAATAAAAATTTTTTAAATTTTTCTTTCACAATTTTTGTAAATTAAATCTTTTTACCTATCCAGACACACCGGAAAATACGTAACCTTTGAATTCATAATAAAGAAGTATCATTTTATGTAAAATTCTCTTCCCCAAAAAATTTTTTTTCCCATCCAATTATCCAAATTGAAAAACGTTGCAGTTTCTCAAAAATTTTTTTATTACATTTGCTTTTATTGTTTGATGTAGTGAAGTGATCCGGATAATTCATGATTATAGGCGGATATCCATTGGCTAAAAAGATCATCCGGATTTATCAAATATTCATGATAGTATATAATTCGTGAATATTCGCAAATTCGCGTTTTTTATAAATAAAAAATTCTAAATATTTTATGAACAATGATATTTTATTTATTATTTAATAATAAAAGCAAAAACTATTGAAAAAATTGATTTGTAGGATTAGGGTGAATATTTTTAATAAAATATGCATTTTTTTTTAAAAACATAAGTCTATTGAATAATTCTGGATTCAGTCATGTTCTTTTAGCAGTTAATAAATTTCCTGCACTGATAAATAACCTTTCACTTAGAGTAGATGTTGCTGGAATAGGAAGGTAAATTTGGGCTAACTTTGAAAGAATTGGAAGTCGTTCCTTATTATCATACCACTAAATAAAAGGATCAGAGTTGAGGCTTATTTCAGGCAAAGATAAGTACATAGTTATCTCATTATCATGTTGTAATAAACATCATTCAAAAATTGAAAATATGGATGGTTCTGATATTGTTGTTATAATGGTAGTATTATTAGTTGATGAAGTATTGATTTTAAGTTCATTATATTTATTTTCCAATAGTTCTTTTGTTTTGTTACGAATTTCTTTATCAATAAATTCAAGAGATTTAATTCAAAGATCAAGTAATGCTGAAATAAGAGTCTCACTTTTTTCATTATTCCAATATAATTCTATTGCATTATATAAATTAACTATTACTTTTTCTAACATTCCAGTAGTTACTAGTAAATTATTTAAATTTAATTTTTTTCTTGATGCTTGAGGTATATTATCTTCATGTTCTATTCATTTTTCTCTATATTCTCTATATTCTTCATATTCTTCTTCTTCTCCTTCATCTCCTTCAAAAACATCAGCAATTTCTTTTATATTATTTATATTATTACTATTATTTTCGTTTGTTAGTTTTATAAGATTTTTTATTTCTTTCAATATAGGACT